GGGAACTAACAATCTTGTTGCGTATAATTTGTATTCTTTATGCTCTTGGGGAGTTCCAAAATGGTTCCACAAAAGCAGATTCTTTTTTTTTTTTTTTTTTTTTTTTTTTTTTAAATCTCTTCCTTTGTCTAGGGAGAAACTACCCAAGGGGCTGTTATCAGGAGGTATCTGACGTTCACCTTGTAAACTAAACTCAGTATTTCACTCTGCCATAGGACTTGGAGATGGCAATTGTAGTACCAGACACAATAAGACACAGGGTCAGAATGATCCTTGAGCCCTGGAGTTTGGGACCAACCCAGGCAACATTGCTAGGCTTTTTCTTAAAGCTCCATTGCATAGAAAATGTAATATATGTACTACCAAACTTGCATAAAAACCTCTACAAAGCATGGTTTTAAGTCCTGTATCTTACTATTCGGAGGCACAGGTCTATGTCTCCTTGAGCAGAGCTAACCAGCTCCCTTAGTCTCCAGCTCTGGACAGTCTTCCCCTCTCACAGAGGCACTGGTTAGTCAGGATCCAGGGCGGCTTGCCGCAACAACCTACAGCCACACTGCCTGTGCCGGGTCTGCACACCCGCCCGATCCCACCCTGTGCTGACCCGAGGCTGTGCGCCAGCGCCGTCAGGGAGCGCGGGGGGCAGCACATCGTCGTAGGAGAGGACGCCCACGGCCCAGCCCCGCTCCTGCCGCAGCCGGAGGGCCAACGCACGCGCGAAGGTAGTCTTTCCGGCCGCCGGCAAGCCGCAGAGGACGCACAGTCCCAGCTTCGGCCGCCCGTCAACGGCGACCTCCCCAGAGGCCGCCGCGGTCTTCATGCCTCTGTCTGCCGCGGCCTGCAGAAAGAAACCTTTGGCCCCGCTGCGCATGTGCAGCGCACCAGCACCATGCAGTGCCCCCTGGCGACACTGCCGAGGAACAAGCCAGGATATCGGTCCATATCGGTCCAGAGAAGATGCTTTGATCCAGGCTGCTAAGCGGGGTGCCTTCTGGACCGTGTATGTGAACGACTAGTGTCAGCTATCCCTGATGCCAGTAACCTAGGCCGGGAACGCATCGGCACTTCTTTCCATACATTCTGGACACTTTGTTGGGATTACTCCTGATAGAATCATCCTCCCTGCCCCACCTTCAAGCCATTAGGGCTTTGCATTTTGGTTTGGTTACGATGAGATTTCTCTGCCCAGGAAAATCTCAGAAGAGACTTGAAACTTCATAAGGAAGGCTTTGAAGGTAAAGAGAGTGACATCAAACAGCAGGAGGCGAAGGCAGGACAGCTCATTTTATGCTGTCCCTGGACTTGATGGGTGCAAGGATTGAGTGTTCGTTATTGAGTCCTGGTGCCGCCAGGAGGCAGCAAGTGAGAAGAAATGAGGACAGGACCCGCACATCCTTATCTCCCAACACAAGCAGGCAGAGAACATAGAGGAAATCAATAGATTATAAATAAATAAATAAACAAATAAATAAATAAATAAATAAATAAATAGGTAAGGAGCTGGGACACAAGCCTATATAATTCCAGCACTTGAAAGGAAGATGCAGGAGGAGCAAGAGTTCGAGGCCAGCCTGTGTTACATGAGACCTTGTCTCAAGCTCTTTATCTCTCCAAAAACAAAACAAAACAAAACAAAACCCAACCAACCAATAAAACAAACAAAAAACCCCACCAAGAACTACCAAACAAGGAAAATATTGTGTGTGTGGTATAAGAAATATTGAATTCAGAAATTATTTGAGCTGCTTCCCCATCTTTGCAGATTTTTATAGGGTACCAACAAAACATCATCTTGAGTCCTCCTTTCCACTCCATTTACATCCCATCATGCACAACTCCTATAGGTAATCAAGTGAGTTTGTGATCTGTGAGGGAAGGGGGGGAAAGAAGGGTTCTATGTGGTTCTAGCCAAGAGGGAAATTAATTTCCTGGGTAAAAGACAGGTATATTTATTTATTAAGATCTTAAGATCTCACTATGTAAAAATTAAGATGTTCTAAATGGTTGCATTGCCAAATAAAGAGGATCAAGAAAATTAAAAATTCCTCTTCTAAAATGTGCCTTTCAAATAAGTATTGAATTCTGAAGGCAGTTTTTTTTTTTTTTTTTTTTTTTTTTTTTTTGAGACAAAGTCTTGCTGTTGTCGTTTAGTCTCTAACTTGTGGGCTTAAGGGATCCTTCCACCTGTCTCCCAAGTAGCTAGGGGCAACAGGCATGCACCATCATGCCCCACTGAACAGATTTGAAATATTTTCCTGGAGGGCATAATGAGTTCTTATGTATCAATAAATTATAGCTATTTAAAAGTAGGTAATCAAAATCCTGATTTGTTTAACTTAATATTGGTTATTGGTACAAGGCTTCTAACTTTTTTTTTTTTTAAACAGGGTCTCATTATGCAGTTCTGGCTATAGTGGAACTCACTATGTAGACCAGGCTGACCTTGAACTCAGAGATCTGTCTGCCTCTGCCTCCTGAGAGGTGGGACTAAAGGCATGTGCCACTACTTCCAGCAACTAAAAATATTCTTAATTATTTCAAAAAAACAAAAAACAAAAAACAAAAAAGGAAATCTTTAGTAATTCCTTACATAGTAAGATTGAGGTCAGCTTTGAACCACAGCCACACACAGGCTTCAAAAAGGACCCCAATTGTTCAGCATTTTTTGCTTTGTTATGCTTCTGCGATAAAGCTGCTACCTCTCACCAACTTACCAATTCCACACACTAAAACTGTTCTTAACTTTACAAATACAAAACGATTCCTAATGACAGCAAGCATGCAGCTGGTAGGGGGAACAATATGGAAATTGTTAAGCCTGGGACTGCAAGGGAGTTATATAGTACTTCAAAGAGTGCAATGTAGCAGAGGAATCAATTCCATTCTATAACAGAGATTTAAGCTTGGTTATGAATGATAAAGCTTTTGTTTTGTTTTCAAAACTATTGGAAAGAAATAGTAATTCTAGGGCGAGGTAGGACCAAAGTTCACCAACCAGGCTTTCCATTGCTAAGGAGTAAAGGTGATGCCGGTTCAGTCAGCAGCATCAGTCGTTAGAAGGGATAGAGGGCAGAGCAGAGCATATGTTGTTGATGAGAATAGGCTCATGACCTTGGAAAAGGAACTCTCAGAATGGTCCAGATAAAGCTAGTGCCTCAACACAGGACAAGCAGATATGAAGAACATAAGAGTTTTAGAGGAAATGAAGAAATGGTGATTTATTGGCAGTGGGTCTTTATGACAGCTGTCTTTAGTTTTCTAATTCATCAGCGTTGTTTAAGGAAGTAAAAATCCACATGGTATTATTAATCTTGTGCACAAAACTGCAAGTTAGTGTTTCTAGGGTGTACTTCCCTTTGGAATGTCTACAGATATTAACTTAATTCATGACCAAAGGAAGCCAGAAATACAGCACAACAGGGCAAGACAATGCAGAGGTTTCTCGGTTTTGTATTCTTGCTGAGGCCGGTTCCAGATATAAATCTGATCTTGATGAGGAATCCCACGGAAAACTACCCAACTCTATCCTGGGGACCAAAGGTCAGGATGTCCTAGCTAACTTATCTTAGCCTTTGTTAAAACTGCTTGTTTGTGCAGAACCTCCTCCAGCTAACCATTCACCTTAGCTGCCTGTTTGTGCAGAACTCTCTTGGCAAGCTAATCGCTTATACTCAGCTTCTGTTAAAACTGCTTACTCTGCACAGCTGCTGAGTGAGATGCGGCACCCTTCAGGTCTCTGGCCTTAAAAACCTGTGTTCTGGAGCCACAGCTAGGTACCAGGCAGCTGGAATAAAGACTTTCAACCCTGTAATATACAGAACAGGAATGATAACAATTTAGAATGAATGAGTTTTAAAAATACTCACAGACTGGGCCTTTTAAAACTAAAGGTTACTGTTTCTGGATTTTGTTTATATTGAGTGTTTGACTTCTCTGTCAAACATGATGAACGAACTTTACATACATTCTGGTGAATGTCTATAGAACATGACATTCAACCATCTTTTTCTTGTCAGAAGACAAACACATTTTTGGACATGGGTACACATACATACTAAAGTGAAAATTAAAGCAAAACTTTTTTTTTGAGAGATGCACTCTTAAGTTCTGAGACAAAATTAGGTTATGTGTGAACAAAACTATTTTCTGGGGATTATATATGGCCTCAAACACAACTTTGAAATTAGGGTTTTCCACATTGCTATAAATGAATTTCCTTCCTCACCTCAAAAGATGTTAAAATTATCCACACAAGCCACTTCAGGAAAGTAACTGGGGGCAGACAATACCTAGCTTTTTTTCTGTGGGTATCTATCAAGTTTCAAGTCCCACTTGTCACCACAGAAAACTTGGCAGTAGAATCTACCTCCGCAGAAAGTGAGGCCCATTGTCATTTCTTGTCAGGTCCAAGAGTGAAGAACCTTAAGGTATGGTCTAGGCTTTGGGTCTCCTGGACGTTTCTCAACCTTCATTATTCTGCCATATAGGGCGTCCAACACGTTCCTAGCTGATACCTGAGGCCCAGGAGCTTGATCTTAGTCCCACCATTGGTTCAGGTGTTTAATGTCTTCTGTCACCCAACAGAATTCTGAGGTGCTTAAACACCAAGCTCCATTCCACAGCCCACTGAGGTGATGTGCGGAGTGGAATAACACGATCAACCTTGGTCCGCACAGCTCTGGGAAAATCCTCAAGGTCCCCATCCGCCACCAAACCATTGCTGGTCCGCTGGCTGGGTCACCATTGCCAACGTCCAAAGAAACCTCTTCGTTTCGCGTGCAGAGCATCGCGCATGCGCACGGCACCTGGACGGGACTGGAGAAGTCACAAAACGTCCTCAATCTCCTCCCGCGAAGATTTTAAACAAATTTATAGATGTCATACGACATGCGCATGCGCATTTATGGTGGTTGGTTTCCCGGGATTTGAGGTGGGGGAGAACCGGAAGTTGTACTGGAACTTCACCTCTGCTCAGCACTGAAGGAAACGCAAGCTCCGCGAAAGAGGTTCCGGCACTACTTGGGCTGGAGGAGACAGAATGGAGACCGCGATCGAAGATCCTGGGCTGGACCGGGGCCCGACGCTCACCTCGTCCTGGGACGCGGCGTGCGGGTCGCTGACCCAAAGCCTCCTCCTTACCCGGATTGGGCCAAGTGCCCAAGACTTGAACTTCGAGCAGCTGCTAGCACCGCCATCTCCGGGGTGCGCCGGGCCGGGACCGGGTGACAGCCACGCTGATGAGGAGCCGGGAGGAGGACGGGAGGCGAGCGAGGCCGCTGGGCCAGCCGGCGTGGGCTGAGGGAGCGGTGCCGGGAGGTGGGCGAGGCTGCGGGCAAGTGCTGTGCTCTGGGCCGGAGAGGCCTGGAAACTCGGGTTCAGGATCCTAGCTAGGGTCAGCAGGGACAACCCCACACGCTCCAGTTAGAATCCTCCTCGCCCAACCAGCCAACCTTCTATTCAGGGGTACAGGAGCAGAACAAGTCCAACCATAAAGAACCACGGGAACTTAAAAGAAGACACATCGTTTTTTTTTTTTTTTTTCTTTACACGCTGTAAACGCTTTTAATTGACTGCGAATGAATTAGAGATTTGAGTAGAATGGCCACGGCCTGGGAAAGCCTCCGTGTCTTATGAATTCAGCGTGTTGGGGAAGGTTCTTGACCTCAGGACAAGTACAAATGAGTTTGACGAGATGGGTTATAGTTCTGTTCAGAAAAGTTCACTATGATATGTTTTATCAATTTTGTTGTCAGTTCGGATCTGGTGAGTTTGAAGAAGAGCCTGAGTCGCCGCGATGAAAACCCCTGCTTCCTTTACCTGAAGTGTGGGCCTAATGGGGCCGAAGAGATACTTTCAGTTGGCATCCTGAGTTCAGCAAGAAACATGGAAGTATACGTAGGAGAGGAGTATTGTGGAACCAGTCGGGGCAAGAATGTCTGCACTGTCGACAGGTTTGTGACTTGTCCATGTGAAAGTGTGCATCTGAATCTGTCTTTTTAGGGGAGAGAAGTTAAAAAATAAACAAACCAAAAACCAACAACAAAAAACATACCAATAGGTATAGGTTAGACCATCAGGCATTCAAAATTCAAAAGACAGCTCAGATGAGTGGTCTTATAAGTATGGAAATTTAGGGCTAATTAACAGGAAGTGGATTGGTAGGTCGCTGGTAATTAGTGAAAGAGTTATTAAACTAAAGTCCTGGTAGCTTGTTTCTCAGCTGGATGTGGTAGCACATGTCTTTAAGGTGTGTCTTTGTGAATTTGAGGCTATCCTGGTCTACATAGTGAGTTCCAGGACAGCCAGGGCAGTTACACAGAGAAACCCTGTCTTGAAAAACAAACAAATATTCTTATTTCTCTTATTTAACTCAGTGGGGTCTGTTTTACAACAATTAGACATTCTGAAACTCTGGATATATTCCCTTCTAGAACGCTCCTTAAAAATGATATATCAATGCTATATGTTCCTTATAAATACATATATATCATTGGTCTATCAATGATAAAGCTCCTTATAAATGATATATGACTTGTCACATCAGTGTGCTCATTAGCCTATTATAAGATGGAAAATTTGTGGGTTTTTTTTTTCCCCTAGTCACTTTATAAGGTTCTGCTTAAATCTATCCTTAATATAATCCAGACTCTTTATGTCCTATGCATGTTGGAAATAATAGTCGTGTTTATAGACTTTTAAATATGCCTTGTGCCACTTTGTTTAGTTTTTTCATATAGCTGTTAAGTGGGAGATACAGAGCCTCCAAGCAGTACAGCACAATCAGGAACCTCTCATTCCCTGTGCCTGAGCAGGAAAAGGGAACCCAGGAAACATTTCTTCTCAAATATATATTAATGCTTATAATCATTGGATGTTAAAAATGAATTCTTTTATTTTAGTGAACATGAAAAGATTCTGTTGTACAAAAAATTCCTAAAATTGGAATCTCCCACACATGCTTGTAAAATAAAGGTAAGTCATCACTACATTTTAAGGTTTAATCAAGTTGTTACTATTCTATACATATTTCTCTTGGTTTGGCAGTACGATTAATCTAATTTGGTCCCAAGGTTTAGTTCAGAAATGCTTAGGGTTATTATTTAAGTGGGGTAATTTGTTAGTTACAGAAAATGTTTTGTTAATATATATATTTTGAAGGCTTGTGAAGCTTGGCTAAGAACATTTAAAAAATCTTTGCATAAAACTATAGTACCACAAAAGGCAGAAGCAAAACTGGCCCTGTATGAAAAGAATGAAGGAGAAGTTCAAACAAGAGCCAGACATTATAAGAAATTTGGATTGTTGTCTTTTGCCAGAAAAATATTCTTGAGATAAACATTAATGATATTGTCGTAGTTTAGGAATAAGTACTAAGTTGGAAAACTCAAGAAATAAATACTAATTCAGCTTTGTTGACAACGATTGCTTTGGCCAATGCTATCTTTCTGAACTATCTGGACCTACTTCATGAGGAAAATTAATGGACCCTAGAAACCAAATTCATGGGTCATTTTTATCTGTGAAATTATATTCGTACTATCACAGAAAACAGTAAGACTTAGTTTTAAGATAAGAAAAACAATGATTTTCATTGAAGAGCTCAGAACTGGTTATTCCAATGTCAGTTTAAGTGGAATAAACTAATAGCTTGTGCAGGCATTTAAATCAAGTGGTTTAAATTATCCAGTGTATATTTAGTACTTGTTGATAACAGATACTTCACTAGGCATTTAGGAATATTAATCGAAAATTGAAGTGCCAGCCTCCATGTTGCTTATATTTTAGTGGGACAAGACAGATGACAGTCAGATTTACTGATTATGTAAATTTTATATAGACTATAGTCTTTGGTCACCAGTGGTACAGACCTTTAATCCCATCACTTGGGAGACAGAGGCAGAGCATGTGGATATCTATGAGTTCAAGGCCAGCCTGATCTACACAACAGGATCTAGGACAGGTATAGTTACATAAAGAGACCCTGTCTGAAAAAACAAACAGACAGAAATATACTGTAGTCAGTGGTGAGAAAGGCTCTTGGGATTATACAACATAAAGGAGACAATAGGGCCCAGGATGGTGATACATACTCAGGAGCATCATAAGATTGAAGCCAGCTAGGTCTGTGTACTGAGTTCCAGGCTATTCAGTGCTACCCATTGAGATTCCGTCTGAAGAAACTAAAAAATAAAAATACATAGATAAAAAAAGGGAGGTAATACTGAAATAGAATATAAATTTAATGAACATTTACTTAACTGTTGAGGACTGATATATATTTGATACCACACTCAGAGTTTATAGAACCTGTTTTTTTTTTTTTTTTTTTTTTTTTTTTTTTTTTAATTGACCTTTGTCTTTGTGACAGGAGTCTATGTATCTCTCAAAGTGAATAATTTTTGTGACTGTTCTGTGGAACATGTGTTAGTCTGAACAGAGTTTTCAATTAGGGAATCTCTCTGACATGTGTGAAAGCTTGTATAAATGTTCCTAATTCAGAATTCTGATCACTTAGTGATACATAGTGGCTATTTTGGCACACAAATCTCTATGAAAGTCATCTTAACCATTTTCTGGTTCAGTCTTAGCATTTGTCCAGGATTTCACATGTTATGAAATAGAAGAATTCAAAATTTAAACTCAGGTGTGTCTGATTTAAAGCCCTTCCCTTTATGTCACACATGGAATGTCTTTTGGTTCAGGAATATGCACTGCCTAAACTGTCAGAGTGATGGGAATACAGCTTAGTGCCAAGCACTGACCCAGCATGCATGAGACCCTAGTTACTATTCTCTCAGTACCCCAAAGTTAGTGGGAAGACGTCATAAACAAAAATGGAAAAATGTGGTGATAAAAGCCAAGAGTGCTGGGTTCCAAAGCTTGACTTACACCACTGAGTATCCTTCACCCTGTCAAACTCACCCCTAATTCCACTTTTTATGTAAACCACCAGTTGTTACATATTAAGTACTTCTGATATCACATCTCTCCTTTTCTAAACTACAGAAGACTGGTTAAGATTTAGATAAATGCTGTATGGGCATCTGGACCGTTGTATTTTATATTAAATAATATTAATGCCAACTGGGGAGTGCTAGGATTGAGGGCTCTTAGGTTTCTTCTTTTCCTCTGTGATACAGAGGATTCAGACCTGGGGCCTTGAGCACAACAGTCAAGTAGTCTGCACCGAGCTATACCCCCAGCCAGCTGTGGCTTATTTTTTAATTCCTTAGACCACATAAACAAAAAGATTTCATATTTTTTATGTGTACCTTATGGCTTGGGGAGGATTTCTTTATTTAAATAATTGATGTTTTCCTCGTGATTTATTTTCTAAGTTTGACTACTGTAAAAAAAACTTTAAATGCACTTGAAGTTAATTTTAGACTTGAATGCCCTGTCTTGCTTTGGTAATATTAAGAGGTTACCTTAAGTGATGGTTGTTTTTAATATCACTGTCATTCCCTGGAATGTTTTTGTTTCATGATAGTTGCTGTCCTTCGGTGAAAAGCAGTGTGTGCTCATCAGTAAAGTTGTGGTGTACGTGAGACCCAGGTCAGCAAATCCTTCACCCAGCCCTTCTGCTCTAGGATCACGGATAGACCTCGACAGTGTCCAAACCATAATGGAGTCCATGGGGTCAAAGTTATCTCCTGGAGCTCAGCAGCTGATGAATATGATTAGGTTCCAGCAGCAGGCAAGTAGAGATGTATTTTGTTAAATTTTAAAATGGTGGCTTGGGGAGATGGTTCAGTTGGTAAAAGGCTTGATGTGCAAGCCTGAGGACCTGAGTTTGCATTCCTAGAGTCATGTAAAAACAGAAAGCATTATTAAACGTGTCTGTAAATTCTGTATTCCTACAAAAAGATGGGAGGTGAAGGCCCGAGAATCCCTTGATAGTCACAGGCCAGTTGGTCTGGTATTTACCAATGGGTTTACACCTTGTTCTAAAGAGGTAGAAGAACTTGAGGTAATCCTCTGACTTCAGACACACACACACACACACATACACACATACACAGTGCCCCTCCTCCAAAAGACAACATATTTTTAATACTGACCTTTAATATGATAACATATTGACTTTTCTCTCTTAGTTTCTGCTGTTTTAACTGTCATCTATTCTATTTTTAATTTTTAAAAAAGTCACATTTTGTAGACTTGCCTTTCTACAAATGTTCTAACTGCGTTGATTCAATTTTCCCCAAATTCATTTTATGTATTCATTCAGCTGTGAGCAAGACTCTGGCTTGCTTCCTTTTGAGGGTGTAAAGATGATCAGGTAGCGTGTAGCCAATTTTTAAGTATTGTATCTGGGAAGTGATGAGATTAAAAGAGGTATACTGAAGTAAGTGGCATTTCATCTGGGCTATTAAAGAGGAAGTTGGGGTTAGTTAGGTCTATCTAGAGCTTGGTTATTTTAGTGAGATGCTAATAATGGATAAGATCTTCAGTGGCAGAAGGAGTAGGATCTAGGTAAGAAATGAAAGTAGACAGGAGAGATTTAAAGATTCGTACTTGATCATAGAGATCTAGCACATAGTGAGATCATTTAAGTTTTCAAATGTCTTTGACCTATTTTTAAAGAGCTTTTATTCCACTATTAATGTGGAAGGTTATTCAAAGGAGAGTAAGACTACAACAGAGAGACCAGCTGTATGTGATTTCCCTTACTCAGGTGAGAGGTGATGCTAGGGTAAGTGTGGTACGTGATGCTGGGTTGGGAGATTAATAAACCTTGAAGCATGAAGTCACTGGGACTAGATAGTTAATACTACTATTGAAGGAGAAAATAAAGTCACATGAGAAACCGAGGCCTTGAGGATGGAATTACCAGAAATATAAATGGAGCCAATGGGATGAGGACACTTGGTAAAAGGAGTCTAATATGGGGAATATCAAATTTAGCTGTGACCAGGGATTGCTGGAAGGATATTTTAGCATTTGCAGACAGGATCAGGAGAGGAGGAGGTGGCTGGCTACAAGGGAGGTTTGGGTGATGTACCCATAGTAGGAACCCTGTGAACAGAGAGGCTGAAACTAGAAAGAAAGAGTCTTGGAGAGAAGCTACATCTAGCAAAATATGGGGAGAGGAAGGTGGCACCAAAAGAACAGAAGGCACCAGTGTGATCAAAGAGAGGTTTTAATATCTGTAGTGAGGTAGTCCTTCTGTAGCACTGACCACGCCCATTGGGGGGTGGAGCGATGGGCGGAGGTGACCTGAGGAAGGAGGTCGGAGGGGGCCAGGAAGGTGCTCTCTCTTTCTGGCGTGACTCGGACAGGAGAGGATCGGGTTGAATTTCCTGGTGTTCATCTGTCTAGGTTGTAAGTTATTTCTCCCTGAATAAACATCTATTTGGCCTATTTGTTTATCCTGATCCTTATTTACCGCAATAAATATCAGGTTAGCTGAAGCTAAGCTGTTCTGTCACTTGGCAGTCTGTTTCCCTCAGCGGGGTGGCCGTACTTCTTTAAGTAATGAAATTCTCTTCACAAAATTTAAGTGACACCAATGTAAAGATGACAGTATTGATGTGGAGATTGGAGGTAAATACTGTGTGGTTTCATTGCTGGGGACAGGGTGTTCCTGGGCTATGGGCAGAGTAAAGAGATCCAGAAGAACTGAGGACTTCAAAACCACAAAAGCATTTTAAAACAAGTGACAGTTTCTGGTTTGCTTCTTGTCCTGCATGGTCTCACTTGGGTGCCTTAAGTTCCAGCTCACCCACAGCCCACCCTTCACACCCAAGCAGGACAAACTTAAAGGAAAACTATGCTTCCTGTTTCATGTCTTTGCATTTAGTTTACATCTGGATATTTATATTATCTTAGCCCTTCTTTCCTTCTCATCTTGGCTACAGATGCTTGGGTTCCTTTTCCAGACATTCTGATGTTCCTATTCCTTATATATGCAAACATGTTGCTACCTCCAGGCCTATTTATTCAGTTGTCTTCTTTGGCTAGAATTCTCCTCCTGTGATATTATTGTATCTATTTTCTTACTCTAATTTCACTTTAATTATTATATTCTTAACTAGGCATTCCCTGTCACATAATTCATAGTAGCACATCCTTCCTAATCTTTATCATAGTTTCATTTGCACCCTTCTGACCACTTTGTTATATATTTTTAGTTACTATTTTTCTCACTAAAGTGAGAATGCTGAGTGTTGTGTTTAAAAGTGCAATCAGAGAGTTGTCTGCTTTGTTTACTGTACTATGCATATGTAGCTTATCATATAAGTACTTTGAGTGCTACAGGGAGTGAGTTTAAATAACAATAGGATATAAAACACATTATGGAGGGTTAGTAGTAGCTGGGTTTGGGAAGTATTGAATGCTAACAGTTTTTTTTTTTTTCCAAGAAGTTTAGACATAAAGAGGAAATTAGAAGGTGGGTATATAAAGGAATATTGAGAATAATGGAAATATTTCTCAACTTGTGAGGTTTGTCCCTTTCTAGGAGTTACAGCAGTTTTGACTTTTCTTTTCCATTTGTTTTAGGCAGGGTCTCTTTATGTAGTCCAGGCTGTTCTGGAACTCACTTTGTAAACCAGGCTGACCTCAGACCCACAGAGATCCTCCTGCCATTGCCCCCCAATTGCTGGGATCAAAGGCATGCACTACTGTGTCTGGCTGGTCTGATTTTTCTTAAAGTGTGTTCCATGTAAAACAAAATTCTCTGCAATGTCTTCAGAAGATTGACTCCAGGCCCTTGCTTGTTACCTACTAAATCTGACAGGGTGAAATTCAAGAATCAGTATTTTTAATGGTGACTTCTGGGGCAAAGTTTGTGTGTATTATAAAATCTTTTAGTAGAAGATATAAAAAAGCAATAACTATGGAAGGATTTTGGAAATGATTAAAGGAGAGTGATGAATTACATATTATCAGCTCACTGGTTTCTATCTTTGAAAAGCTTGGCTCAAGGAAAATATTACATTTTTTTTCTGGTTTTATTCTATTAGTAATAAGTCTTTTATTGCACCAGTTTCAAAGAAAATTATTAGATGAAAAACAACAGTGTTCTTGCTGCTGTTATTCTGTTCCCCAGAGGTAAGTAACCAAGGCAACAGTTTGTGAGTTTTCTCTATATGGGAAACACATGGAAGGGACAGCCACAATGATGGGTTACTACCATGTACCCTGTAGGCAGAGATTCAGGAATTTGTTTTCCATTACTTCACTTGATATTTCTGCTGGCTAATTTTTTAATTAGTGAATTTCTTATAGATGACTAGGCAGTATATATCTGTCAAAAGGAATGCCTTAGCAAATGCTTTTACATTTATGATTTTTTTTTCTGCTAAACTAATGGCAACCCATAATTTTGACATGAACTATAGTATAAATACCATTATGATTAGTATATATTTTTCAATTCTCTAGTGTACAGTTTTGAGCTATAAAAGAGAAATAGCATTTCCATTGTGCCTGAATAAAGCTCTTTTAAGCCGAAAGAAAGATGTCAAATGTTATAAGCATGAAAATATATATGATTTTTTCTTGTTCCAGAAATATGTTAAGGTTTATTCAAAACTGGCATTCAGTAGAACAGAATAAATTGATAACAGGGTAACATTTCTCTACAAAGAGCCTTTTTAAAAATGAATTTAAGTGAAAGAAGTTAGATGGAAATTGTCTATTATAGATTCCCCCTCCTATACACCTCTGCTTCCTTGGCCATTATCCATTATCCTCCCTTTCATCCTGCATTTTTTCCCTTCATCATCTCCATCCTATGATATATTCCCTTTTTCCGTCCTTTAGGGCACCCCCTGCATATGATTCGTATAGGCTCCATGTGAGTTCAGGGATTTTAATTTGGTTTGCTCACTGATGTATTTGTTATTCTTGAAATGGAATGTAGCACAAAGGAGATTTCTGGTAAAAGTTTGTTGGATAAATGCCTTGCAGATCTGGCTTGACCTAGTGATAATATTTAGAGTATTTAGATGACTATATTAACGTAGTTTCTTCAACTAATCCTGGTAATTACTTTTTGAACCTGTCTCTCAAAAGCTATTGATCAGCCATAATGGGAGATGATAGTCCCTGGTTAAAAAACAACAAAAAACCATGGTTGGCATCTAGATTTTGGAGTTAAACTAATCATTTGCCTTAACAGTGTTTGTTGAACTACAGATCATTTTACTTTATTGGAAAAACTGAAAGGCATAATAGGGAGGTGGTCAGCCTTCTCTTTAAGATAAGCCAGGATCTTCTTATGAGCTTAGGTGTGGCCTCAGAATTAAAGCAAACACAGCTAAGAGTAGGTTATTTTAGGCATCAAAAATGTCACAAATGTATCTATAGAACATCTACTTCTATAGTGCAACTGTCCACCATGTAACCTCCATGAAAACTCATTGCAAAAGATGTGACCAGGTAAAATGAATAGTTTACTATATATTGAAAATTGGGTGGACATTTTAGGTTGAACTTTGAGAAGATAATTGATGGGGGCTAGAGAGATTGTTCAGCAGTCAAGAGTACTTGCTGCTTTGGTAGATGCCCTGGGTCCTGTCTCCAGCATCAACATCAGGTGGCTCACAACTGCTTGTAACTCCAGTTCCAGAAGCCAACACCCTCCCTTTGCCCCTGTGGGCACTCCATGTACCTGGTACACATACATACACAGACATAAACTCATATACTTGAAAATAAAAAATCAAAAATCTAAAAGAAAATGATCAACTATTTTAACTAATCTTAAGTGTTACTGCCATAAGGAAGCCTTTAGTAGTGAAAAAAATATAGCCTGTTAGTGTATTTTACTGTTATAGTAGTGTATATTTTAATGTGTTCTTTAGGAAAAGCTACAGTGAAATGATCAAAAGAAGTTTAAGTTTATGTTCCAGCCCTGCCACACACTGCCTGGTTTCCATGGGCAGGAACTTTTCACCTTGGTTTCCTCTGCTTAACATTGAGCAGTAACAGCTTTCTTCATGGGGATGCATTGCAGATCAACAAAAGAGTGCATAGTGTCTGACTTCTGTCAACAGCTCCAAAGCTCAGCCTTCACTCTTTAATATTTACTGATTTTTCTTGCTCAGAATCGTCTTCCCATTGGAGATCAACTTCAGTCAGTGTTGGGAACCACAGGACACAAGCATCTGATTGCACTGCAGTCTTCACTTTCTTCAGGAGTCGTAGACAAGGCGTCCTCTACACCTTTTCCTTTTAGAACTGGATTGACACCTTCAACCATCACTGAAAATCTAAAGGCTCTTATTGATAAAAGCACAAAGCCACCTGGAGAAGGAAATACCACAAACCATGATGAGTGTCACCTTGTGCCACAAAACCATTCCCTTCTTGAAAATGATCTTAAAAATGCAGTGTCTTCTTTCTTACCAAAGAAGACGAGTGGCAACTCAAACACGCCCAACTCTGAGTTGCTGCCATTTCTTCAGAATTTGTGTAGTCAGGTCAACCATCTCCGAGTGGGACATAATACCAGGTGGCAAGAAAACATCTCCAAGCCCCGAGAGAGCATTGTCGGTGTCTCGTAAGTATTTTATTTTAAAGCAAATATAGTTGAGATTTGGTAGGTGGGAGAGTCTGATGAAGGGAAACAGACTTGCCTCAGGTGCACTACCTGACGAGCTGTTTCCAGCATTTATAGTTCATCATTGGCACACTTAACTAGGAATAGAATAGAATGGATTGCTTTAGAAGAAATGTCTAGATTTGGTGTTGCAGTTTCAGGCATTTGTGGAAGAGTACAACCATTAACTAAGGGTTGCAATAAAAAGCTATGTGCATGAATTTGGAGAAACTGTAAGAACTTACAATTTTTGACTAGGTGTGTTATGCTTGTCATTGTAACAATTTACCTTTGTTATTTGTGTTTGTTCCAGGCTGTGTTTAAAGTAAAAAACTATAGTGGGATGGGAATTATTTATAATGTAGATGCTCCTCTGGTCTCAATCTGTTATCTCTGCAGCGTGTTTGATTAGAATGTTGCCAAGTAGCATATTCCTAACTCTTTTCACAGATATAGTTTGTCAAAATAGTGTTCTAGTCTGAAATACAGAACTCTGGTCATAGTTCAGATTAACCATTTTCTTTTACTGGTCAGTCTTTTTAGTTTAAAGTTTACATCTGAAAATGGTATAGTTTAGAGGAAAATATCACCAATCACCAACATGATTACATCAGCATTTATACTAAGTTCTACTGAAATGCCAGAATACAGTCTTTTTCACGTCTGTGGAAGAGTCACAGAAATAGATTATATCTCAAGTCATAAATGAGCCTCACCAAATTTAAGAGGACTGAAAACAAAGAAAGTGTTTTCTCTGACCATAAAGATAAGAAATCATTTAACGGTAATGGAAAGACAACTGGAAAATTTCCAAACACTTGATGATTAAACAACACAGTTTGTCTGATTGAAGAAGTCTAGGAGTTGGAGAAATGTTTCAGTTGGTAAAGTACTTGCTGTGCAAGCATGAGGATCTGCATTTCAAACCTTAGTACCCATGTTTAAAACACAAAAACAAGCCATGTGGTGGTAGCACAGCCTTTAATCCTAGCACTTGGGAAGCAGAGGCAGGAGGATCTCAGTGAGTCTAAGGCCAGCCTGGTCCACAAAGAGTTTTCCAGGACAGCCAGGACTTACACAGAAACCCTGTCTTTAAAAACAAAACAAAACAAAACAAAAAGCAAAATACCCAAAATTCTATAGTTTGGGTGCTGGGAGGCTCAGACAGGAGGATTCCTGGGTCTTGCTGGTCAACTGGTCTAAATCAGGGAGCTCTGGTTCTGTGAGAGACTCTGTCTCAACAAATAGAGTAACAGAAGGAAACACCAGATGTCAGCCTCCTGCTCTATAGGCTCATGTGTACAGATATGTATGTATGTATGTATGTATGTATGTATGTATGTATATGTATGTATGTGTGTACAGATATATGTATGTATGTATATGTATGTATGTATGTGTGTATATATATACATGTATATGCATGCATCCACATGAACATGTATACATGCATACAACATACACAGCACACACAAAGAAGTCTCAACAGAAATAATTTTAAAATATATAAAGCCAAGTAAAAATGCAGAGATGAAAGTTTGTGGGCCATATCTAAAGAAGTATGCCAAGGGTCAGTACCATCATACGCTGCCTTAGTGAAGATGGCTATGAGAACAGTGGCACAAAACTACTACCTAAAAAATGAAATAAGAGCTGGAGAGATGGCTTAGCAGTTGAGAACATTTGTGGGTTTAATCCCCAGCACTCACATGGCTTAAAACTCTAGCCCCAGTAACTCCAGTGCCCTCTCCTAACCTCTGTGGGCACCAGGTGTGCACATGGCACATATGTATACATACAAGGAAAACACTCATACACATAACATAAAGAAATTTTAAAAATTAATTATGTCCTGAGTATTTCTAAGTCCAATGGTGGCACAAACCTGCAGTTCCAATGTTCAGGAAGCCAAAGGAGGAGGTTCATAAGAACAGGAAAACAATAAGAAAATAATGAAATAGGTGATTCTTTGAAAATTTCATGAAAATTAATGAGCTTCTAGCAAGACTAGAAAATAAGGGGCAAGAAGATACATACTTCCAGTGTGAGATACAGTAGAGAATATCACTACAGTGTCTTGGTAGTAAGGGGAAGTGTAAATAACTTCATGCTCACACATTTAATAATAGAGGAAATGGATTAACTTTTAAAAAACCATAAACTACAGAACACAACACAAAATAGATAATGGAATGACCCTATAGCCTCTAATAATAGTGAATTTGTAATGGAAGGGTATTAAGATTTGGATGTGGTGTGTCCCCCCTCTCCCACCCCCATATTGAAGGCTTGATTTTCACTTAGTGGATCTGGTCATTGAGTGATGATTGGATCATGAAGGCATTCCACTTATGGAGTTGTATTTTATTAGTATTTGGAGATGTTAGAGTGGGGCTTAGTTGGAGGAAATAGGTTACTGGAGCCTGACTTTGGAGAATGTCTCATCCCAGGCTCTCCCTGGTTCTTTTCTGGCTGGCTGCCAGCTTTGCTCTGGTATACACTCATCTCCCATACATTCCGCTCCACCTTGGGTCCACAGCAATGGAGAAAGCAATTGTGGACCGAAAACTGAAAGCAAAAGCCGAGGAAACCTGGAGTTTATTCTCAGATATTGTCACAGTGATGGGAAGCCAACTAACACAGAATGTTCACGGAAAAAGAAAAAATTCTGGTCTAGATAGTTCCGAGAGCAGTGGGTTTTACATAATCTAGTAACTCAAAGGGCAAGAAGACTTCATTTTATGAAGCCACTATTACCAGGCACCTCAACTAGATTCTAAATAATTTGAAGTCCATAAAATATATGGAAGTACATTTTAAAATATCTAAAATAATTATGTATCATTGATAAAATAGGAACTGTGGACTGAAAATTATAAAATTTGAAAGGCTCTAAAAAATAGTGCAGAAACATGACATGTTCATAGATTTACTCAGCATAGTAAAAGCAACAGTACTCCCATAATTGATATGTGTGCTTCGAGTTTAAAAAGAATAAAGCAAGAGAAATCATTTCATATTTCAGGACATGGTAGAGCTGTAGCGTCAGGCCTACCACCAGCAGGGAGTGGGGCAGGCAGGTGGACAGGACAGAGGCACAGAGGTGGCTTGCAGCATTGCAGTTCAGTTGGGGAAGAGCAGTCTCAAAGGTGTTGCTAAGCCAATGTGATATCCACAGGCAACAATAAACCATGACTTAAGCTTCACACCTTCTGTGAAATTGAACAGAAATGGGACATACAACAAAAGGTAAACTGAAACTTCCTAATATATAAGAAGAACTCCTGGGGACTTAGGGAAAAAGTGCTTAGATATACCATCAAAAACTGATGTGAGGACCCCAGCAAAATGTCAAACGTATGCCCATGAAAGACCCTGTTAAGCTGATTTAAATATAACTAGATGAAAATTCAACAAATGACTTTCTAACATACAAAGAAATCACAAAATTTAGCATGTAAAACAATACTGAGTGAAACACAGAAGACAAAGAACCTTACACTAGGGAGACTACATAGGAAGCAGATGAGCAAAGCAGAGTGGCTGGCACTGCTTCATTGTTGCCAGGGGAATGCATATTAAAGCTGCAGATAACGGTGCTTTCTTGGGACACCTAAAACTTGAAAATGCTCACAAGCACTTGGAGAACTAGATCTCTCATGGGTTACTGCTGGGATCATAAAATGGTACAGTCACACAAAAATATTTTGGCAGTTTACTAGATGCACATCATATGACCTGGCTTTTATCATATGCCTAGGCTTTTAATCCTAGAGAAATGAAGTTTTATGGCCTATAAATAGCAGTACATAATTGTTCATAGATGCTTTGTTTTACTTTGTTTTTTTTCAAGACAGGATTTCTCTCTAACAGCCCTGGTTATCGTCCTGGAACTTGCTCTGTAGACCGGGCTGGCCTTGAACTCACAGAATAAGCCTGCCTCTGCTTCCTGAGTGCTGAGATTAAAGGTGTGCACTACTACCGCCCATGTGAAGCTGTATTTGTAATAGTTCTATAATGGAAACACTGAAATATTTTGTAACAGGTAATTTAAGAACAGTATCCCTACTGTGGAGTTAAATTAGCATTTATTACAAAACAAAAAAAACAACCTAAATGGCTTTCAGGTGAATTATGGTGAGGAACAACAGAGACTCATGTAGCCACATAGCAGATGGTAGAGAGCACACTAGTAGGAGTTAGGAAAGGGAATGCAACAAAGGGATGACAGGATGGATGCCTTTGTAGTTAAAAGTTCTGTGCACATGATAATAGCACAGAGCTCTGCATGTATTTTACATAAATATTAGTGTGCTGGTTTTGATATTATTTCATAGGAAATAATAAAACCATTATATATTAATTTAAGTATGAAAAATAAGCAAATTCTTTTAAAACCAATGAAAATTATGTTTTAGTATGTGAAGATCTATATTAGCTTTTGGCTACAATCTTCTATGTGTTACCATATATAACATGTAACTAGTAAGAACACTGAAAGCAAAGGGAGTTAATGTTTGAAATGCACATATTGATACACTAAATCTACTGTCTCAGAACATTCTAGGAAGAGAAGAATTCACTGTTACCAATTCTGTGCATGACTAGAACAGGGGCATTATACCTCATGTACATTTGGAAAATGCCACTGTGTTTTCATGTGAGCTTAAGTCTGAAAGAGTCAGGTACCACCATCCTATTAGTTCAGAAATACTTTGGACCTCATTGAGTCCCTGGAGGAGAGAACACAATGTTTGTAGGCCATACTGTGAGTTCCTTCTTCTGGTGTTCACTGAATGTAACTGCTCTTTCCTGAAGGCTTGTTAGTTTTTTGAGACAGATTCTCATGTATCCCTGTTTCTTAGTTACTTTTATTGTCATGACAACATGCCAGGCCCAAGTCAGCTTATAAAAGAAAACCTTTAATTTAGGAGCTCGTGGTTCCAAGGGTTAGAGGCCATAACCATCATGGTGGGGAACATCGCAGCAGTCAGTCAGGCATATCAGTGTAGCAGTAGCTGAGAGTTTACATCTGATCCAAGCAACAGGCAGAGAGCAAGCTAACTGGGAATGGTGTGGACTTTTGAAACCTCAAAGCCCCCACATCCCCCAGAGGCACACCTCTTCCAACAAGGCCACAGCTTCTAATCCTTCCCAAACAGTTCCAACAACTGGGGGCCAAACATTCAAATATATGAGCTTGAGTGTGTGTAGGGTGGGGGGTCATTCTTTTTCGAATCATCACACCCAGACAAGCCTCTGATTGGCTCTGCAATTGACCACGAACTTTTGATCCTCTTGGCTCCATTTCCCAAGTGCTGAAGTTACAGGTGTGCATCACACCTTTTAGCCATGTGTGCTTGTAGGTGAAGCATGTTCATATGGAAGCTAGAGGACAATGTCAGGTGTCTTCAGAAGCCACCCACATTGTCTTTTGAGATAGCGTCTTTACTAGGCTGAATGGCTAGTGAGCCACTGAGATCTTTTGTCTTTAAGTACCCAATGCTGGGATTTTTAAGTTCATACTACCATGCCTGCCATGTGTATGTGAATTTATGCGGTATGTGTTCATGTATGAGAGTGTACATGCAAGTGTGTGGTGGAGGGGAGAGATCAGTTTTGGGTGTTCCTCAATCATATCTACCTTGGTTCTTGAGATAGGGTTTCTTACTGTATCTGGGGCCCTGATTTGACAAGGTTAGCTGGCCAGTCAGGCATCATCTCTCTGCTTCCCCAGTACAAGGATTATAGCTACACGCCACAGCACCAGGGTTCTTATGGAGTATGCTGGGGATACTTCATGCTTGAATGTCAGTCTTTCCAAACTGAGCCATCTCCCCAACCCCAGCTTTCAATATTTTAATTTTAATTTTTATTCGGAGAATATAGCTTGGGCCTTCGCATTTGCAAAGCGGTTAGTTCTTTTAGTGACTGAGCTATCTCCCTTACCTCATCCGGTCTTATGCAGTGCTAGGGATTTAAGCCAAGGCTTCTGTTTTGTTTTGCTTTGTTTCAAGACAGGGTTTCTTTGTGTAGCTTTGGAGCCTCTCCTGACACTTGCTCTGTAGCCCAGGTTGGCCTCAAATTTATAGAGGCCTGCCTACCTCTGCTTCCCGAGTGCTGGGCTTAAAGGCCACCACCCAGCTAAACTCAAGGCTTCTTGATGCTAGAAAAACACTCAAGCAACAGAACCACAGTCTCACATTGTGCAACAGAACCACAGTCTCAGATTGTTCTTAATTGTCTTTGCTTTACATTGTTCTCAGCTTTCTAACGAGATAAAGCAGTTAGTAGGAGAGTGTTGTGGCGTGCAGTCAGGACTTTGGCCACTGTTGTAGGTTTTAGAACTGAAAATGTGCCATGGGGAGGGTAGAGTTGTAGAGACCAATGCCAGTGGTATATCTTGGGTGCTCTTTGGCTGGCTCAGTTTATTGCTTTTGTCATCATAAACGAGAAAATTGATACACTTAAAATTTTTATTTTTAGGATGGAAGAGCAGCCTATTTGCTCCTACTTGGAAAAGATTCTTTCTAAAAACATGGAACAGATGGAAAAGAAGCTTATGGACCACATTGATGAGAGGATCTATCAGCTCCAGGAGCACATAGATGCTAAAATGGCTTTGTTAGTGGACTTGCTGCGAAATCCCAACTCCCCACCTCCTGGGCTACCTCTAAGACACTATGACTCCAGAGAAGGACTTTCCAATGGAGAGAGATAAGCTGCCAACATACACAATTATTGCAGATATTTATTACATATTTATTACAGAGCCAAAATACAAAAAAGGTTATGAAAATCAAGTCTCTTTAATGTCTTTTGACGTATCATTGTCTTACATGGTGACCTCAGTGCTCATTTTCATTGTACTTGTTACTGTAGATTCCGGTCTGTGCACCAACAGCTACCCTGATACCATCCTAAGTTATTTTGCTTACTATATTTTTCACTCTTACAGAAATGTATACTTATGTTGCTCAAGTGTTTGGGATGTGTAAGGACTTTAGTTTATTAGTTTATATTGTATATTACGTATGTTTGAAGTGAATTTTTTATTTATACATATACCTATGAAATATAGTCTCAGGAGTATGAAAAGAATTGCTATGATTTTTTTTTCTAATTATTTTTGGAAAGTTGGATACCTGTACTCTTTAATTTAGAGTACCAGTTTATACTTGCTGTTATTTATCTGAGATGAATATGTACAATGCTTGGGCTGTCTGAGATAGTTTACAGAGTGAGGAGTCGATCTGTTGTCCATTACAGTGCAGCTGTAGATCGCTTGTGTTCAGTTCTACTATTTCAGATTTGGTGCTGCAGCTAAAATGGAAAGAAATTCTTTTCTGGAACTGACAGGTTCTTTCCCCAGAGGCCTTTTCTAGCATGAGTAATGTGTGACATTCTGAAAATCTAAAACGAGGACTAAGATATGTGAATCTAGGGTTTTGCAATCTTCAGCAGACTGAATTTTCAGAACTTGAGTGTTATGTCTGTGTTGGTAATACAGCTGCGCCTAAATGCATTGCTCTTAAGATCATCTGGAAGTGAATAGAACTCTTTTTATCTAATTTGCTTATGTTGTTTCTTTTCTTTAAAGAAAGGGGATATTTTGTGTTTATCCATTGTTTTGGCAAACTGTTCTTCAAAATGCCTGTTGGTTTTGACCATATGGCAAAGGTGCATGTAGGTCACACCACACTTGTGCTGGTCTTTGGGCTGTGGCTGGGGGGATAGTCACACCATGTGCAGGTGTAAGATGTCACTTCCTAATCAGTGAGGAGAAATCCACTCACAGCTCCAGTCCATGGTTGCCGCTTTTGGTAGTTGTGATTCTTCCGTGATTTACAGAGTACCATTTATGACTTACCAGTGCCATCAGGCCCATAAATCATTAACTGGGGCTGCCCAGGTCTGCAAGGCAGGACCATACCCCTAACTGAAGGCTGTGAAACCATCTTCATCTCAGCCTGACACACCTTTGCAGCCTCATCTCCACTGCCAATCCATGTGTTCTTATCTCTGATCCTGTGACATAGGGACTGACCAAGGAGCAGGAAGGGACCGATGGGAAGAACTCAGAGAAAAGCAAGACGTGTAAAAGGTGGAAACACATCTCATAAACCATACCGTGTCTGTCATAGTGTAACATGGACCCGGAAGAATTCCACCCTGTCTAGGGGTGAGAATAGCCTGAAGCCCAGTAGAACAGCCCCCTGTAAGAAAAGATGGCTCACAGTTCTGTTAAGTTATATCAGTTATATCACAGCTAAGTCTACACATGTGTATACATACTTGTTTCCTGGCTTTTGTTGTTTCTTTTCTGTAGACTGTAACACTGCTATAGGAAAAGTGGGAAGACAGGAATATCCCCTCACCCCCGATGAAAACTGTAAACAAACCCATTTCTTTTTTTTTTCTCTTGATTTTTTTTTTTTTTTAATAGAAGTGGCTGGTAGCAGAACCTCCAGATTGAGGTAACAGCTTGATTTGGGATCCATAAACATCAAATTGGCTTGTGTTATAAAAACAAAACAAACAAACCCTTTAATTGTGGATATCATGCTTGGCTTGTGCTGTGCACCCTGATGTGACCAAAAAAAAAAAAAAAAAAAGAAATGTACCTAGTCAAGTAACCCTAGACAAAATAATTTCAAATAAGGTCACTAAGAAGAGCCTGTGCATAAGTCTTGAGAAGTCCTCACTCTCTGCTGTGTAATAAAACCATCCTCTTTTTCCTTTTCTCATCTCTGAATCTCTGAAACCATCAAGTCTTCTCTGAGACCTTCCTGGACTTCCCCACCAGCACTCTTAACTTCCTATAGTCTCCCTGTCTTATCTCTGATGACCTTGGGGGACAGTTAAATATCTTCACACCAAGGATGCTTTCCTTGTCCCCAGCTGCCCTCTGCTCATATTATGGACCCTTCTCTGTGTCTTGCTTGTGCCTCTTTGAATCCTGAATCTCATTTAGCTTGGTTTTTTCCAGCCATGACATTCCTTCCGGAATTGATACTCTGACCTGTGTACCCAAATATTTTCTTACAGAGCCCAGTATTGTAGAACAGGAGGTATTCAAGGAAATACTCTGTGAGATAAACTGGATTATCTACCTCTCTCTCTCCTCGTGTGTGTGTGTGTGTGTGTGTGTGTGTGTGTGTGTGTGTGTGTGTGTGTGTGCGCGCGTGCTCCTGCCTATGGGTGAGTGCAGATGAGCACGTGGAAACCTGAGTTTCTGAGTGTTTCTCAAATCGATCCTGCTAGACCTGGCCTAAAATGCAGAACTCACCTAGTTCCACCATGTCTGGAGCTACCTCACTCCTCTGGCTGGGGATGAGACAGAATACACAGAGACAATTATGGCGGAGAGAAGGGAGCCTTCATTCTTAAAGTATGGCTGTAGCATCTCAGCACCTGAAAATCAACTCCAGGGCAGTTACTACTAATATTTGCTGTAAAGCTTGCTTTCATACAGGCAATATTTCTTTCATATAGAAATATTTCCAAAAAAGAAGATTAAAAAGTTGGGCATAGTAGTGCACACCTTTAATCCCAGCACTCAGAGGAGAAGATGCAGATCTTTAGTTGGAGACCAACCTGGTCTACCTAGCAAGTTCTAGGCTAGCCAAGCCTACATATGTCATGAGACCCTTTATAAAAAAAAAAAAAAAAAAAAAAAAAGAACGACCAAAACAAAACAAAATATCCCCAAAAGAATGTTAAGGTAGCAATAAACCAGGTTTAAGGCCTGAGTATACTTACATAGCCTTGAGTATGTCCTTTACATTCTGCATATTTTCTGGGAATCCCACTAACATCACAATTAACTGTTGCTCACAGTGAAGATACCCCAAATTCCTGCACCCCTGTGGTCTAGTGTGTGACCTTATTGTTACTACATTTACATTTAACAACACTTTCAAGTTTGTTGGAAATCAACAAAACCCTACCTATGAGTATTATAAAGAAGTGAAGGATATCTCTGCCTTAATCCTATCCCCACGTTTTTGGGTGTAATTTATGTTCCTATAAGCACTTCTCTATTTCTTAAACTTTTTTTTTTCTTTTTAATAAACTACAACTCTGCTCCATACTGGCTTGTCCTGAAATTCTTTTCTGTACCTTGTCAAAGGTTTGGCTTTCCCTGAGCATAAGCCCCTAAATGGGGAGGGAATTCCTCAAGCTGCTGCAGGTACCTGAGCTGTGTCTTCAGCATTGGCACTCCTGACAGGGAGGATGTTCTTGAGGGTTTAGATTATATACTGTTTTATGTAGCCAAGGCCTTATTCACTTGTTGACACTTGAGGACAGTAACTGTCTTACCTCAAGGCTATATTAATTCTCCAGCCCTGTGTCATAACTTAGTTTGAAGGGATCTTGATCACCTGTCTCTTCCATACAATGTCGCATTATTGGTGCACTATACTGGTATCATTAAGCTGATTGTACTAAGTGAGCAGGAAGTAGCAACCATTTTGGACTTATTGGTAACACACATACATCAGAAGGTGTGGAATAAATATAGCCCAAATTCAAGGACCTTCTACCTCAGTGAAATTCTCAGGAGTCCACTGGTGTGGAGCATCTAAGGTGAAAGACAAGTTACAGCACCTGGCCCCTCCCACCACCAAGAAAGAAGCACAACGTTTAGTGCACCTGTTTGGATTCTGGAGACAGCACATTCCTCACTTGGGTGTGCTATTCCAGCCCATACACCAAGTGACTTGGGAAGCTGCCAGCTTTGAGTGGGCTCTGGAACAGGAGGCCACTCCTCAGCAGGTCCAGGCTGCTGCATAGGCTGCTCTACCACCTGGACCACATGATCCCAAAGGCTTAATGGTACCTGAGGTGTCAGTGGCAGATAGGGATGCTGTTTAGAGACTTTGCCAGGCTCTTGATAGGTGACGCCTAGAAGAAAACTGGAATTTTGGAGCAAGGCTCTACCATCAGCTGCAGACAGCTATTCTCCCTTTGAAAGACAACTTTTGTCTACTTTTGCCTTGTGGAAACTGAACATTTGACAATGGGGTCACTAAGTTACTATGCAACCTTAGCTGCCTATCACGAGCTGGGTGTTATCTGACCCACCAAGCCATGAAACAGGATGTACACAACAGAGTATTTCCTTGAGCACCACAGAAGTGCTATATACATGATCAGGCCCTAGCAGGTCCTGAAGGCACAAACAAGTCTCATTAAGAAGTTGCCCAAGTTCCTATGGTTTCTAACCCCATTACATTGCAGTATGTTGCACCTAAGCGCCCTGGGTGTGCCCTATAATCAGCTGACTAAGGAAGAGAAGGCTAGGACCTGGTGTACTAATTGTGCATGTGATGCAGGTACCACTCAGAAGTGGACAGCTGCAACATTTCAACTCCTTTTTGGGATAACCTTGAGAATTAAGGATGACATAAGGAGATATGATTGTGTGTCAAGTTGGAAAGGACTGGTCTTACGATGATTATTCTTGGTTGTCAACTTGACTACATCTGAAATTAAAACCCAAGCAGCTGAATATACCTGTGAGGGATTTTTTTTTTAAATGATTTGAAGTGGGAAGACCCACTTCTAATCTGGGCCACACTACCTGGTAGCAGCCTCTATAAGAACATGCTCCCTTCCCCCTTGCTGGCAAGTCCATTCCTTCACTAGCATTAGAGCCTACTTCTTCAGGGTTCTGGTGTATACTGAAGACCAGCTGAGACATCCAGTTTCATGGGCTGAACTACTACTGGATTCTGTTGGTAGACTTTCATTGTTAGACTAGCTGGACCATATTCATTCTATAAGTTCTATTTCTTTAGAGACTCTTAACTAATCTTGTTTAATCTGGTCTCTTACAGTCTGTGCAGCCCAGAACACTGGCCCTCCCCATAATTCTTGGAAGCCTGTGATGGTTAATACTTTTATCAACTTCATAGGGTCTAGAATCATCCAGGAGACAGACCTCTGGGTATATCTGTGAAGGAGTTACTAGACTGGGTTGAGGTGAGAAGACCAACCCTTTATGTAGGTGGTTGGGGTCCCAGACTGATAAAAAGGATGAAGCTGAGCACAGCTTTCATCTCCCTCTACTTCCTGACTGCTGACACTGTGTGACTTGCTGCTTCTGTGTGACACATGTGTGACACATGTTCCTGCCACCATCTCATCCCAGTGGACTATACCCTAAGACTAAAGGCAGAAAAAAAAATCTTTGCTTCCCTTTTCAGAAACAGGAATTTTGTGTCAGCACGGAGAAAATAAACCAGTATGCACTTGAATTTGGCAACTTGGTAAAAGATTTGCCAACCTGACCCTCAGAATTTAGGCTTACTAACCCGAAAGTGTTTTATTTTCTGTTAGTATGTGTTTAGTGATAAGAACTTCTATGCTTTTAATATTTAATAAATGGAGTTTAGAAATAATGTGTTTTCAGTAGTAAAGTTTGGCTCAAGTAAATTATGATACATCCAGGTAGAATTCTTTTTTGTTTTTTTAAAGATTTATTTTTATTATACAGTTTTTCTGCCTGCATGTGTCATTGCAGGCCAGAAGATGGCACCCGATCTCATTACAGGTGGTTGTGAGCCACCATATGGTTGCTGGGAATTGAACTCACGAACTCTGGAAAGAGCAGTCAGTGATCTTAACTGTTGAGCTATCTGTCCAGCCCCTAGAATTCTTATATTCCTGATAAAAATATTTTGTGAAGGCTGAAGCATGGCTCAGTAGTTAAGAGTGCCTGCTGTGCTTCCAGGTGACCTAAGTGTGGTTCCCAGTACCCATGTCAGGTAGCTCACCACTGTAATTCCAGCTTTAGGAGATCCACTGCCTTCTTCTGGTCTCTGTGGGCACTTCATAGATGTGGTGTACATACAATCAGGTATATATGTATACACATAAATAAAGTTTAAAAAAGAAATCTTCAGAGACAAACACCTAGACAATGTTCAAAGAGTGAGACACCTCGGAACACTTGCTCCTACCTGGAATGTCTCTGTAATTCCCTCCCTCCACATGTGGCCCAGGGAAACCTGCAGAAGAGGGGCCAGAAATGTTTGAAGAGCCAGAGGAGATGGTGGATACCAAGGAAACACCTTCTCAATTGGCATGTGTATGACCTCACAAAGACTGGCAGCATGGACAGGGCTGCACAGGTTTGGGGTCTCAGGGCTTAAGGTGGAAGTAGAAATAAGCCTGTGTCCCTAACCCAGAAGCTGTCTCCAATTGATAGCCACTGGCAAATGAAAAAAATTGGTTTTCTCTAATGGAGTCTCACTGTGCATACAAACCACTCCTAAGGCCAGGCCCCATGCCCAATAGTAGATGACCAGCACAAAACAAACTCAATGGGATTTTGGAGATTCTTTTGTTTGTCCTTTGTCTCATAATGCCTTATCTGGGATTTTTTTCTTTCTTTCTTTTTTTTTTTTTCTATTTTTCTTTCTATCCTACAGGTCTTACACATTATGGTTCCCAATTTTGTGTTTTTCTGGGATTTCTGTGTGCTGATGTGTTTGTTTCTATGTTTCCTTTGCTCTTTTTTCTGTTCACCTGTTTTGTCCCATTTGACTTTATGTGTTCTTTCTTCTTTGAAATTATTTACATGCCCCCCTTTTTACTTTCAATTCCCCTGCTTCCATTGCAACATTTATAGGCTCAAGTATCAAAATGAGTAAAAAAGTTAGAATAAAGGACATTCACAACCACCACCAAAGTAAAGGATTATTTTTATGTGTGATTATACAAAGAACAAAAATAACATCAGAGTAAATAAGAATATAAACATTATATAAATTGATTTGAAGAACAAAATATTCTACCAACAAAGAAATCCTGATTGTGAGGAGTTTTGTATCCACCTCTGAAATGTCAGAGTCCATCGTTTGTGCCACAAAAGCAAGGTGGCAGGCTGTCAACATCTGTATAGATGCTACAGTCGTCACAGTACTGGAAGGTTCGACAGGACTCAGCAATGATGGGTTTGGGCCTGACGATCTTGTCTTGGGTGAACTTGCATGGTTCAATACAGTTTTCAACATCTGCCATCTTTGCCATTCTTAGAAAAGACACACACATAATGAGGGAGGTTAGAATTGTCCTTTCCAATGAGCGTCTACAATCATGAGGGCTATGTGGGAAAGTCCAGGGCTGGAGCCCACCACACATGTGACATCAGCCTTGGGTTAAATCTCTCTGTTCCTTTCCCATCTTTCTCTCTTCTACAATTGCTATGCACGCGAACCCAGGCTAGCACTCCAAGCAACGGAGAGTGAATTGCACCCCAGTGACTGCCACAGGCCCATGAGATGTGGGAATGATGGAGAAGGTGCTACAGTTGGCTGGGCTCAGCTCTGGCCTCCAGAATCTAAGTCCCTATGAAGGGGCACCATTACTACTGACAGCCAGCCTCCCTCCCAAACTTCAAACATCTCTCATCTGACATCCATATCTTTGGAGTGAGTCTCTCTTCTCTTGGCCCACTTCACTTTCCCACGGCCATTGACAATGAACAAGGGACCATGTGAGCTTCCCAGTGAGTGGTCAGAGGTCACTATGGCCATACTCTGTGAGTGGGAGACAGCGCATTCCCAAAGCACCCTCTGTGGATTCCCCAGTCTACAGTGCTGGATGGAAAGGATGCTCAGTCAGGGTCCTGTTAAACACCAGAAGGCACAGTCCCTGAGGCCAAGTGACAGAAAGCAGTGCTGGCACACACTGTCCATCCTGAGAGCATCAGGCTTGTGAGCCGACAGCCCCAAGTTAGAAGGAAAACCCTCAAGCTTCTGTGTCGTCTGTTCCCATCCTCTCATACCTGACAGTGGCCCTTGACTGTCTCCTACAAGTGGCCACTGCAGTAAGAAGTGACCCCGCTCTGGTAAAGGGCCCAGTGTATCATTGACGACGTGTGGTTCACTCCTACTCATGTGACTTACTTCAGTGCCTTGGCTATTTTCAAGTAAAGACAAAGTACAACGATGATCAGCATAATTGCAGCAACCAGCAAGCTGCTAGCGATGCCGATCATAACCTTCGTTCTCAGGTCGAACATCTTTCACTCCTGGAAGAGAAGTTCAGGCAACCACTTGGCCACTGCTGCCCCACGCCCCGCCTTCCAGTGAAGCAGAAAGGATCCAAACACAGATTTTTATGCATGTGAGCAGGAAGAACTCTGTCCAGGGAGGTCCCCGCTGACCTCAGGTGGGTAAGAGGGTTTATTTGTGGTGGAAAGGGGACTTGGATGTAAAATCCAGGTATCAGTAAGTGAGGGCGATAGTAAAAAGAGTACTTACTCTTCACGGGCAGTGAGGGACAAGTCGGGCCTGGAGTCTCCTACCAGCCTCAACTGTGCTTAAAATCAGAGCTGAATCAGAACGCACCCCACTAAGGACGTTGGGTTAGACCAGTTTAATGGACTGAGGGAGTGACTTTTCAAGATATTATTGTCCAAAACTGCTGAGAAAGTACAAATCTATTTTGAAAGCGTTTCTTAGTGAAGGGTAGGGAGAACCCCACAAACAAACTAGGTTATGTTATCTCAGGGTTAAAAATATTCATAACTGGTCCAGTGAACCCCTTGCTGAGGCTGAAACAGGCTTGCCCAGACCATGGACCAGCTTTCCCAGGAGTCCCTTGTGCCTCATGCTGTCTTCTAGCAGACTATAAATCTCCCTGCTAAGCACTTAACCCTCCCACAGAGGCCCCTTGTTTGGTATAAGCAATATGCTTAGTCTAATATCTGAAACTGGGGAACAGCAAACTTAGAGGCGGGCAGAAAAACCGTACTCCTTACAGACAACAGAAGACAATTTTACAAAAAACATACTTACCAAAGTCAAACTTGTCTAGTGCCAAGTTAAAGACAATTATTTAAAGCCTGCACCCACACACTTGATGTGTGCACACGCGTGCGCACACACACCTCAAACTAAATAGAAGAGAAAGGTTTCAGAAATAGTATGCTTCAGCAAACTTGCAGCTTCTCAAACCTGTGATTTGAGAAATAAGGATCTAAACCACCCCGTTAGAGCAGCTAAGATACAGACTGACGTGCTTCACTGTGGGAGAACTAAGGTCTGCCAAGACTGCTAGAATGTACCAGCCCCAAGCCATCCTTTGTGACGTCAACTTACAGCCCCCTTTCTCAGAATTCCAAATCCCGACCCCACATCTATGCATAGTTTAGCTCCCAAGAAATATACTATTTGGGATTATTTAAAGTCTAACAGTTGAGAGTCTGCCAATCAAAAACTGGTCAACTGTTCCAATTATTTAAAAAGAGAATGATGGATTGAGGCTTTAAACACACTTTCATTTAAAGCTACAGATTGTATTTCGTTGTACAGTGACATGAGGCCAAGCTGTTCACTAGGGTTCAAGCACACATTCTGTGACACTGGCAGTCTCACATCTCAGGGTTGAACAGCTGTAAAAAAAACCCAACGTTAAAGAGAGTACCTATTATAGTCAGGCTTGTAGTATATGAACTTTTGTTCTTGTCAGTTTTTTTTGTTTTGTTTTCAGGCTCCATTTTTTTTTTTAATTTAAAATCTGAGGTGACCTAAGAGAAAGATCCATGCCTCCTACTGGAATTACTTTTGTTCAAGGCTTTGTTCAGAAGCCAGATTTCTTACCAGGAGCAGAAGTATTTCTCTGATGAGCAAGTTTAGTTTCCAGCTGGATCAAATTACCTGAGTCCATTCCTTTTGAGCCTAATGTTACACCTGTCCTAGAAACATAGACATACAAGCACGCATCTCAGCTGAAGTAAAAATGTGTAAAGTTTAAAACTCCTATCACATATATAATATTTTTAAAAATCCAAAGCCATGTCTGAGATTCAAGGAAACCTTTTAACTTCCAACCCTGTAAAACTGAAATAATATATAAACTCCCAGCATACAACAGCAACGACTCTCCATCTTTCCCATGTTCAGCCTGGGCATCCAGGAGTTCATAACTCTGCAGCTAGCCTCCTACTAACTCCAGGAAATGTGGTAATGACCATTTTGGAATTTGACTACTGCTGGTAAGCTGTGATTCTCTTTATTCACCTGTCTATATGGGTTATGGACTTGGCTCTTGGTCCTGATTTCAGTTCTCCGGTGCCTTCTGTAGAATTGTTCATTTTCAGTTGCTTCAGCATGGGGATGACTTAAGCTCTTCACACATTTGGAAGAAAAATGGAAAGGCCCAGATCCATTTCTATCCTTTCCCCTTTTCTGGATAACCTCAGTTGGCCCATCTCTCGGTTCATGGATTCTTTCTCCTGCCTGTTCAAATTTGATATTGAACTCCACTGGTGACATCTTCATTTTATTTATTATAGTTTCCAACTCTTATTTCTACCTGATCCTTCATAGTAATTTTCCCTCTTAGTAAAAGTCTTTATGATAACATTATACTCTCTCTTAGGTAAGACTTTCTTTGATCATATTTTAAAATGGCTGAATTCAATCTTTGTCTAAGTAGGACCAAAATCTGGGCCTTTGCAATTAACATTTCAATTAATTGTTCTATCTTTTGTGGGTCCTATTTTACCATGCTTTATTGTCATTTTTTGAAAACTAGATATTTTAAATGGTACAACATGATGTCTTCAAAAATTAGCCTTCTGTCTCCCAAGGACAGATGTTACTGCATGTCACAGTCTTGAAGCTTCTTGAATATCTTTCCTCAACTGATTCTCTAACATCTGTGTCCTTTGTTGTATGCGGACACCGATTTACCCAGAGACAGTTAATAATTAGGCAAATATTTCTTTAAACTCCTGAAACGAGAACCACAACAAGATCTTCCAGTCTTTGGTGAGGGGCTCAGGGTACCTGTGGGCCAAGCTTGCAATGTTGAGCCAAACAGCAGAGAACCATGTCTCAGGCCCCTCCTCCTTCTTGGAAAGAGCCACCAATGTCCTCCAGATGCCAGTATCTTAGAACCAGCTCATACTTTTCTAGTGTGTTTCTAGTCCTTTCAAGCACAGGTCTTTAAATGGTGTGTGGTCTTCTAGACTCCCAGGAATATGTCAGAGCTTTCCAAAACCTAGAGTTTGTGAAACAGGGTGTCAGGTTCAAAGAAAACTCCATTTCTCCAGATTTCCAAAAGGCAGAAAGGACAAGTGGCTATCCGTGGTGCTTATTAGCATATCAAAGCCCACGCTGGCCTAATGGCTTCCTCAGTATCACAAGTATCTGTTATACAATTCAAAATCCATATTAGCACCCTAGCCCATCTCACCACCTCCCATACCCCAGCTCCCTGAGCTCACAGGCTTCCTTCCCAATAGCTACTCACTCTCCTTATGACCCTATTTGTTTTATGCTCTCTCTTCTTTGTCTTCTTTCTACCTCCCTCCTCTCCCTTTCCCTCTCTCCATGTCTCTCTCTCTCTCTCTCTCTCTCTCTCTCTCTCTCTCTCTCTCTCTCTCTCTCTCTCTCTCTCTCTGCTCTGCTCCCGCTTCTCTCATGGCTAGGTCCAATCTGTTGACCAGGTTCAGTCTCCTTCTTTCTCTTTCTGCTCTGAACTCTTCCAGATGCCTCTCTGGCTATTCTCTCTCTCTCTCCCTCTCTCCCCTTTCTCTCTCCCTCTTTCTCTCCCTTTCTCTCTCTTATATATACAATAACAACCTTCTTAATCATAGCATGGAGTGGTCATGCCATTAGTTTATATATTAGGAATAATTGTCACTCAGCTTTTCCTTTAGTTTTATTTTCTTGTCAACAAGCTGGAGTCATTTGAGAAGAGAGAATATCAGTTGAGAGAATGCCTTCATCAAATTACCCTGTAGACAAAAGGGGCATATTCATGATTAATGATTGGTATGGGAGGACCCAGCCCACTATGGACTATGCCATCCATGGGCAGGTGGTCTTGAGTTCTGTAAAAGAGCAAGTTGAGTGAGCCGTGGAGAACAAGCCAGTAAGAAGTGCTCTTCCATGGCCTCTGCTTCAGTTTCTGCCTCCAAGTTTCTGCCTTGAGTTTCCTCCTTGGCTTTCCTTGATGATAGCTTATAACCTAAAAGATAAGTAAATACTTTTCTCTCTCAAGTTGCTTTTAGTCAATGTTTTATCACAGCAACAGAATAGGACAGTAGCTAAGGTTTTTGTTTGTTTGTTTGTTCTTAATCAGGTTTATAGTCCAGGCATAAATTCCCTCTTGTGGAGTAGACCACAAATCTAACCAGAAAGCAGTTGGTTACCTCCCTCCCCATTAACAGCCATGCCACTATTGCTCTAGTGGATACATCTTATCTGGAGGGTTAGTATTGTAGTCTGCTGGGCTCATTGATCTCTTTTCTATCCCAGAAGCCTATGAAAATACCTCTGGCACTTGAAAGCTAGCCAGTAGGAGAAAAGTTTCTCTCTCAGCTCCAACTTGGATTCTCTGTGTTCTGTAATCAAGCATGTAGTGTCTTCAGCTCTAGAGTTTTGCCATCCAGTTATAGTGGTCACCAAATATAGTATACATGGCCCTGAGATTTTTCATTTAGTAAATTTTGTTTTCTGGTGGCAACAGCATTATCCTCCTATGCCGAATATGTTTAGACTCCTTTTTATTTTTTAAATTTTTTGTATTTAAAATTTTAGACTTAATTATGTGTTAGTATTTTGTCTGCATGTATACAATGTAACATGCATATACAATGTAACATGTGCTTTCCTGCTACCCATGGAGGTTAAAAGAGGGCTTAGGATCCCCTGGGACTGGAGTCATAGATGGTTGTGAGTTGCCATGTTGGCTTTGGGAGTAAAACTCAGGTTCTCTGCAAAAGCAACAATTGATCCTAACTTCTGAACCAGTTAGCCCCTTTAAAATTATATATTTTTAAATTAGCTAACTTGTGGGGTTTCAATAAGGCCTTTTCAAGCAGCTTTAGTTTTCATTAACCTACCCTCATCCTCTCCTTTCCCTCATTCACCTGCCCCCATCCCTGCCTTCGACCCCTAGTACCCCCTCCCATATACTTAAATCATGTGTTCTACCATTGCCTCCCTCCATTAAGCTGCTTTCCCTCCCCTCTCTCACGGGTCATTTCTGGCTTCCTGACCTTTACATATACTTGAAATTCAACATATAAATCTGAATATTTGAAGCTAGGATCCAGATATGAGAATGAACACGTGCTGTTTATCTTTCTGGGCCTAGGTTATATCACCCACTATAATATTCTTCAGTTCTATTTTCCTGCATATTTTCGAATTCATTTTTCTTTACATCTGAATAAAATTCCATTACATATGTATTACATTTTCATTATTCATTCAGCAGCTGATGAGCATCTAAGCTGATTCCATTTATGATCTGGAGTTTCTTATGCCTGAAAATATTGACATTGTCACTGCTGTTCTTAATCTCACTTGGTTGGTTCCCAGAACAGCAAGAAGTAACCTTTGAATTTGCCTTTCTGGGTTGAAATACCTTGAAGACTGAGAAATATGATTGAAGTAGGTATCTTCCATGAGTCAACCTTTTTGGATCTTTTCATCTTAACCATAAAGTGTGACATGACACCAATGGGCCTCTGGCCTAATTCTCTTATGTGGCTACATTTTGTGTAGCTAAAATAAAAAAAAAATCTAGCCAATTTTTTATAATTGGGTTTTAGATAACTGAGCATTTTAAGGCATTGGCTTCCTTGCCTTAGTTTTTTTTTTTTTTTTTTTCTTTTTTTTTTTTTCTGTTTTGAAACTTCAAATTTACTTTTGATTAGCAGTCAAATTCTAAGTTTCTCTGGGAGGGATACAATCTGAAAAGGAAAGTGAAGAGTTGCACATGTTCAGATGTATTTGGGAGATTTGTGTTAAGGTTTATTTGACCATGGAATGGAATTTAGAACTCCGTGAAAGAAAGCTGGTATCTAGAGCATTGATGTCACACAGCATGTGTCCCAGGCTGAGGAGATGTAAGAGCTAACAATGGCTGTCCATTCCAGCAGGCCACACTTCTGAAAGTAAGTTCTTCAAATTTAGACCTAGGTAATTACAACTTTCTTTCTGTTTTAAGTACCATTTTTTTTATTTTTTGAAAGAAGCTTCTTTGACCAAAACCAAGACCAGCATTGACCTATCAGTGTAAACATAAATATTAAAAGGCAGTTCGACAGCATGACCATGTAGTGAAATATGAGTAGTAAGTTCCCTCCTAAAGCCCATGACTTCCCCAGCCAAGAGTTTTGACCAGGACTACATTACCATACATGAATTTCCTCTCATGGAGCAGGCCTCAAATCAATCAAAAAGTAACTGGTTAACCCCCCCCCATCCAATGCACCAAAAAGTCATGTCACTATTGCCTCTTACATATATACCAGAGTATATTCTGCCTGGGAGGTTAGTATTGTAGTGCACAGAGTTCAGCATGGAGTAAGACCTCTGGTCTCTTTTTTTCCCCCCAGCAGCCTGCACAAACACCTTCTGAAGCTATGAAAACTATTCATTAGGGGAGAGTTTCCTGGTCAGTTTGAGATTGATTTCTCTGTCCTGAAACCAAAGTGTGTGGTATCCTCAGCAATAAGGACTTACCATCTAGTTATGGTGGGCAACAAAGAACATTAACAATACCTTGTGTTTTCTTGGGTGCTTCTGGGTTCTTTCTAACCAGTAACTTCCAGGAAGTTAACCCATGCTTAGCATTGTTTCCTGAGGTTTATTTTGGTTGTCTAGTTGTAGTTTTTAAAATGTTGGCTTTCACCAAGCAATGAGAAGGACCAGAAAGCAGCAAGTGAGCTTTGGTGGCTAGAATTCTGTTTCCCCACGTCACTTTCCCCCTGAGACTGTCAGAGTTAAGTATAAAGAACTTAAGTATTCCAGATGAGAAATGTTGAAGATACAGGCCTGAGAAGGATAGCAGGAGCTTGAATCACCCACCCCACCCCACCCCTGCCTCCCATAAGCATCCAATATCTACAAAGTGGGTTTTCAGGCTCTTCCTAGTGCTGTTCTGTCTTAGTTGTCTTTTCTGTACAAGACCTCTGAATTTCACACTCAGAGTGGGGTTGGGTGTGACTCTGAGTATGAGCATAATTCAGGAAGCCCCAAGCACATGGGAAGGAGGCAACAGCTAGCTCCAGGGTAGTCCTTCTATTTATTACTCAAGGGTCTATTAACTTCTGCCTGCATATCTATCCTATCTGTCCTTTAGCTCTCTTGCCTCAGGATTTTACATTTGAATCTCCTTTGCATGGAAATTTTCCCTGTTACCTACCTTGGGCCAGTTAAAACCTCTCTGGAAAGAGCCCCTTTGGTTTACATGTAATCTGTGTTTGAGGTCCATTTCCTCTTCACTGAAAGAAGTGTGTGGGGGATGCTAATGGCTGTGTGGGAGGGAGGCCACATTCACTGTTTGTCTGCACTTCTTTGCCCAGATATGTCTAAATTTTTTGATCTCCGAGCAATAATCATGATTGCCATTGGTGGTGGGATCCTGTCATCCATGCTTCTACTGATAGGAGTTGTCCTCTGTCTTTACTCCAAAGTAACCAAGGCACTGAATTCAGCTGGGTAAGAATGAACAATACCCCAATCAAATGGGGACACTGGGCCCTCTCCTGGAACAGGGTCACTTGTAGGAGACAGTCAAGGGCCACTGTCAGGTGTGAGAGGATGGGAACAGACGACACAGAAGCTTGAGGGTTTTCCTTCTAGCTTGGGGCTGCCGGCTCACAATCCTGATGCTCTCAGGATGGACAGTGTGTGCCAGCACTGCTTTCTGTCACTTGGCCTCAGGGACTGTGCCTTCTGGTGTTTAACAGGACCCTGACTGAGCATCCTTTCCATCCAGCACTGTAGACTGGGGAATCCACAGAGGGTGCCTTGGGGATGCGCTGTCTCCCACTCACAGAGTATGGCCATAGTGACCTCTGACCACTCACTGGGAAGCTCACATGGTCCCTTGTTCATTGTCAATGGCCGTGGGAAAGTGAAGTGGGCCAAGAGAAGAGAGACTCACTCCAAAGAGATGGATGTCAGATGAGAGATGTTTGAAGTTTGGGAGGGAGGCTGGCTGTCAGTGGTAATGGTGCCCCTTCATAGGGACTTAGATTCTGGAGGCCAGAGCTGAGCCCAGCCAACTGTAGCATCTTCTCCATCATTCCCACATCTCATGGGCCTGTGGCAGTCACTGGGGTGCAATTCACTCTCCGTTGCTTGGAGTGCTAGCCTGGGTTCACGTGCATAGCCATTGTAGAAGAGGGAAAGATGGGAAAGGAACAGAGAGATTTAACCCAGGGCTGATGTCACATGTGTGGTGGGCTCCAGCCCTGGACTTTCCCACATAGCCCTCATGATTGTAGACGCTCACTGGAAAGGACAATTCTAACCTCGTTTCATGTCTTTTAAGAACTGCAAAAGAAGCAGATGCTGCTGCAAGCTGTATTGTACCAAGCAAGCTCACCCAAGACAAGATCATCCTGGCCAAACCCATCACTGAGCCTTGTCGTACCGTCCAGTGCTGTGATGCATGTAGTGTCTACGCAGATGTTGGTGCCGTGCCACCTTGCTTTTGTAGCATAAGTGAAGGACTCTGACATAGCAGTGGTGGATAAAAAGAAAGATTCATGATTGATATTTCAATTTCTTAATAGAATATTTTCTGATTGAAGCCAACTTCTATAGTGTTTATGTCATATGCCATCTACATGATATATTTGTACTTTTATATAAATGGACGCTAATGAAAACAATCTTTGTATTATGTTTCTTAGTTGTACTTCTAACACTAATACCTACTATGAGATTTTGGCAAGCAGGTATGTAATGTGCTTTTGTAAAAATAGAAAATAGAATAGAAAATAAAAGTGCCCTGTCCTTTTCTAGCACCAGAAGGAAAAGGTAAGCTAATTTCAGGGCACTTCTAACTTTAGCAGCAGTTAAGTGTGGGAACTCTGGAGTAATGGGAATGGTTCTTCCGAGAGCTTGTTCCTCCTCAGTCCAGCTTGTTGAATGTCGTGACAGGAGCATCACTCACTGGGAGAGTGGGGTATCTCTGGGTTTAATTCTGGGTTGATCTCTGTGGCTTGTAAAGAACGGCAATGTGGAATGTAATGATGCCCACCTATAATCCCACCTGGGAGGTGGACACTGGAGGATTATGTGTTCAAGGTCGTCATCAACTACACTGAGTTTGAACCACTCTGGGCTACATTAGACCCTTCTTCAGGAGAGAGAGAGAAGGAAAGAGAGAGAGAGAGAGAGAGAGAGAGAGAGAGAGAGAGAGAGAGAGAGAGAGAGAGCACATATGTGCTAGTAGGAGCAGGCAAACCTGAGCTTGCCCACGGAGATTTTACATCTGTTGAGAAGCAGGTGGCCCCTTTTGATCGCCTTTACACTGGCCAGTGCTGATTCAGCTGACAAAATCAACATACCAAAACCCTGCAACCCAAGACAGAAGCCCAGGTTCCCTTCATCACCGCACAGGCAAGAGGGTGTGCCTTCCGCACTTCTTCTCCTGAGGCCCTGCAGCCTCTGCCTAGTACAGATGTCTCACCATGAATTTCCTCTCTTCAGCTAGGACTGTTCGCGCCACAGATACAGTTCATAGAAAGAGATATTAGCTAGTGATGTGTTGTCACCTATTGAAAGGGAATTAAAGGAGAGGAAAAGAAAATGCAGAGAGCAGCTGCTTCCTAGGGATGGACAAAATGTGGGGCGTGCAGCAGGGACCCCTGCTGCTCTTCAGGAACCAATCCTGCATGCCTGCTCTCAGGAAGTGAACACTCAGGTCTCACCCCAGCACTAGGTCTCGGGGGTGGGGGGCACCACTACAAGATTCTGTAGGTGAAATAATCTGTCTCTCTTGAGTTTCCAGAACACTGCCTTCACCCCTTACTTGGCTTTGATTCTCTTGCTATCCAGCGAGGCCCTAGAACAGTTAAATACATTTCTAACCTCAGCCGGTGGGCAGCTTAGTACATGATATGGAAGGCCTGTGACAGCTTGTCTTTATCTGAGGGACTAAGTCTGGTTTGGGTATCAAAAGGGGCATGAGGCAGGAGGGACAAGGCATTTTCGGGACTTTCATGGTAGGTAGTAGATCAGAGTACCACAGCAGGTTTTAGAACCAATGGATTCAGATTGTGTTTTAACTTGGCTTGCACTTTGGGAAGTGCCATGACTTCTCCCGGCCATCGGGACTGTAATTAAGAGTGGGACTTGTGTAGGGACCATCAACGAGAGGAGGTCTTCCTGGCCCACAGAAATCCTGACTAATGGCAATAGCACAAAGCAGGCTTCTTACCTACCTGGACCCCAAGTGTTTGTCCATTCCCAGGCGACTACAAAATCTTCACACACACTGATGCTCAGCGACAGGGGTGGGAGGAGATTTCAGTCATGGGAAGGAGGAGCAGTTGAGGCAAAGCCCAGAATGGGGTGATTATGCACAGACACAGATAATTGTGAACAGTCCTTAGTAATTAGAAGTCCACACACAGGTATCTCACCCACTACCCCACTATATCCCTATCTCTTATGTGACTGCTTGTATAGATAGGAATCCAGCAGAGCTGTGTAGGCATCTGGGGAGTCCCCTGTGCCATTGGGGTCACCTTGCTGTGGTAGCATTGGGTATGGGGCTAACCCTGATCCAGGGCTGACCAGGAATGGATTCCCTGGGGCACAGTTGAGGACTATCCCCTCCCCAAGTCACAGTTCAGGGCTGAATGAGGATGCCTGGACTTCAGAGAGTCTGGAGCAACATGGAAGAGTGGAGGGGTACAGGAAGGTTTCACTCTAGGTGACCCTGCCTCATTCTAACTTCCAAGGGTCTTCTGAGTGATTCCTAGTGTCTTAGTTCCCTTTCTAATGCTATGATGTAACACCATGACCGAGGCAACTTATAGTAAAAGGTGTTTATTTGGGCTTACGGTCCCAGAGGGTGAGTCGATGACCATTGTGGTGGGTAGTATGGCTGCAGGCAGGCAGTCAGGCATGTCAGTGAAGCAGTAACTGAGAGCCTGCATCTGATCCACAAGCATGAAGCAAAGAGAGCTAATTGGGAATGGTGTGAGTGGGCCTTTGAAACCCCAAAGCCCACTCCCAGTGACACACCTCCAACAAGGCCATACGGTTCCTAATCCTTCCTAAACAGTTCTACCAACCAGGGACCAAGAATTCAAATACACGAACATTATGGGGAATTCCCATTTAAACCACCATACCTAGAACTGGCCATTCACTAAAAAGTCCCATGTGAAGTTAGAGCAGGATTAGTTTCTCTCTACCATACATGTCTGTCTCCATCAACAATTGCCTGGACTTTATGCCATCTCCCTTCCCCTTTCCCCCTCCTTTACACAGACTAGAAAAGTTCCTGCCAGGGCCTTTACACATCCACCTTTATCTTAATAAATCCCTCAAGATATCTTCTATTGCATCTTTCTTCTATTGCCTTTCCTTTGCCCTAATTTGCATCCTTTCCCACCCAAGGTGCCACATTCCGTCTGATCACCCTGTTTTGACACCCTAAACACTTGCCCTTATATGAATTTTTGATTTGTTATCTATTCCCCCCCCCACTTAGAATGCAGGTTCCATAAGAGTAAAAATCTGTGTGCCTTGTGCTCAGTTCTGTATTCCCACCTCCTAGGATAGTGAGCAACGAAGACTTGCTCAGTGAGTGAAAGAATAAGTGAATGGATGAATGAACAGGCAGCCCCTTTCACATATATACTCTTCTTCTGAGCCTCATGTGGGACACCAGAAATTATGTCTCTAAGTTGCAAGCTCAGTGCCTGAGGGACTCTGATCCACTTGCTTATCTTCTTCAAGGGGACAGAGTCAGAAATCCTTGCAGGAAGGCCTGACCTGCACTGTATTTTCCTTCCCATCCTTTGTCCCTCCCCTACCCCTCAGGTTAGCCTCCTATAGGTATCTGAGGGTCCGGATGGGCCCAGAGTTTGCCAGGTACCATGTTATCCCTGGTCTGCTGAACTTTGGACCCCATACACTTCTATTCCTGGAGAAGGCACGGCTTTGAGCCAGTGGTGCCACCTCACTCATGGTCTGCACGGACAGGGTCAAGCTTCTAGTGTAGGTCAAGGCCAGAGGAACTGCTACATAACTGCAGAGCCCTGTGCAGAACTGGGCTGGCTGGCCCACAGCCCCGTGACAAGTGACCTGGAAGGGTGAGTACAATGCCAGAGACTGCTGGCCAGGAGGCAGCCCCACAGCTGTGGAGTTCTCACCAGCATCACCCCTGTGTGGCCAAACTGACACGTTTCCCTAGATGCCAGGAAGCCGAGGCTCAGAGAAATATAAAAGCCTGCAGGCCCTGAGGCACACTGCAAAGATGGAGGTCACTGGACGACTGTTCATTTGGGCCCTGTTAGTTGCGTCCTGTGGAGCGCAGCTGAATTCAACAGCAGTTGAAGGTAAGAAAATTGAACCAGATTCTTCAACTCAAACATGGAAGACCTGATTTTACCAGGCCGCTTCCAAAACTTAGAAAGCTTTGTATCTGCTGCTGCCCTCATTACAGAGAATAACTCACCTTTGTGGCCTCTGCAAGACTTTTGTCTTACTGGTCACTTCCTTATAGACCATGGGGTCAGGTTCATTGAAATAGAAAAGGCACAAACAATTTCACTTTTAACAGTATATCTTAGGAAAGTAATCCTAAAACTATATACCTGCATGAATAGATATTGACTTAATTTTTTAAAAAATGCAAATTTAAGTTGCTATTTTTTTGAGGGTAAATCAGTACAGAGACATACATACTCTGGTAAGCTTTAAAAAGTTACATATACAAGAAAGGGTCTTTACTAAGAGGGAAAATGTAGCTGGATGGTGGTGGCACATGCCTTTAGTCCCAGCACTTGGGAGGCAGAGGCAGGTGGATCTCTGTAAAATTGAGGCCAGTGTGGTCTACAGAGCAAGTGCCAGGACAGGTTCCAAAGCTACACAGGAAAACCCTGTCTACAAAAACCAAACTAAAAACAAAGAGGGAAAATGTCTAAAGTTTTACAATATGATAGTGCTTATGTCTAGAACTACACACGGAACATTTCTAAAATCGAAAAGAGGAGGAAAGGAAAGGACTGAGAGATTCAGAGCAGGGTTTTAATGAAGATGCTGATCCCGGGTGGGTGGGATTGTGCCACTCTTTTCAATTAGCGCTCTTTTCCCCGGCAACTATAGGACTGGCTATTGTTAGGTAAGCAGAAGTTTCGTTCATCAATCACAGGTGAAAGAGAACATGAATAAGATCTGTTTCTAAATACATGGGGGTTTTGCTCATCTGTCTCATCTGGGAAATGTATCTGTTCTGGTCCTTGCTTGATTTTGTGTGTGTGTGTGTGTGTGTGTGTGTGTGTGGTTGATATACCCAATGCCACTCCATTAGAGAATGCTGACTTTTTCCTCTTCCAGAAGTTATAAATGACAATTCTGTTGTTAACTTTTACCCTAGTACCTAGATTTTCATTCACTCATTTAAAAATAACAAAATAAAATATAATAAGATAAAAAACTATCACACTCAAGTTGGACAGGACAAACCAACAAAAGGAAAAGAGAGTAAGAGAAGGCACAAGAGTCAGAG